GTTTGCCTTCAGACAACAAACAAATGCGCACAAACGGAGAGTCAGCCGTCGCCAAAGCCGCATAAAAAGCTGAAATTCTTGGTCGTTTAAAACTTCAACTATTTCGAAATACCTACTGTTCAATTCTACAAGCATACATATACGCGTACATAGTACATTTGCAAATACAGACATACAAATGAATAAAATTCGTTGGCCAGTCGCCAATAATCGAAATTATTGAAAACTTTACATTTTAAGTAGAAAAGTTTCTCATTACTGTAGTAGCTAAAGGAGGTGGGCGGTCATTTTGCACTATACGCTGTAACTTATACATACATACATAAGTATGTACATATGTATTAAAATAAACACATAGCAAACACATTCATAGCCATTGTCGTTCTGGTCGTTGGCTCCAACAACTTCATTCCTTATTGCCAATAATAATGGCGGAATGTGCGACAGCGGCTGTTAGTTTACCGTGCAGACTTACGCGCAAGCAGACAGACAGGCAATAATACTACTTTGCTTACAGCTGTGTGTACAAATTGAGACGACGGCTGTCGGACTACACACGCATACATACTTAGTATCTACAGACAGTCGAGCAAACTCATAAACTGTGCTCATTTGATTGCTGCGCCGATTTTGCAGGCTGGCATCGGTTAGGAGAACGGAACGCAGCTTTGTAGAGAAAATAATCGTAGGAGTGGTGAAGTCAGTTGTCTGCTTAAATAAACTTCACTGATTTCTTGCATAACTACATATAATGCAAATAGATATGTTTACAGTAATAATAGGGATCGGTGAGATACTAGGAATTTTGAAAATAGCATTTAAGAGGAAAAAGAATTTGAAGTGAATTTCCTTTTGAAAAATAGACAAATTTTCATAAAAGGTAATGATACGTCTAATTCAAAACGAAATTTATATACGGGCCGATTTCATAATAAAATTAAAGAATATTTTAAAATTTAAAGGATGCTTTATTTTGCTGATGGATTTCACAAAGCTACTTTGAAGATAATGGTGCCCTTTGGTTAAATAATAATAAAATTTAAGTGACAAAGGTCCCGTTTGTAAGAAAAAAAATAGGTATGTCATTTTCGTAGTTATAATTACATATTTATGACAATGATACGATGCAATTTTGCCAAGATCAGCGTTGCCAACTATATTTCCATTTAAATGAACCTTTTGTTATTATTCAATTAAAAACACTTCTTGTTTAAAGTACATCTAAATGACACTTTAACTAAAAGGACACTTTTGCAAAAGGAACTTTAAGTGTTTCTTTATGAAATCAGCCCTAAGTTAAAAAATTTCCCTTTTAGGAAATTTTTAATTTGCATTCATAAACAAGATTAAATTTTAAGGTATTAAAATATGTTTTGTTTTGTTGTATTTTTAGACTTTAGAAAAAAATTCCCTTTTAGGAAATTTGTGAAAACTAGAAAAAATTATGAAGAAACTAAAAGGAAACTTTTGCAAAAGGAACATTAAGTGTTTCATTATGAAATCAACTAAGTTAAAAAAATTTCCCTTTTAGGAAATGTTTAATTCGCATTCATAAACAAGATTAATTGTAAGTTATTAAAATATGTGAAAACTAGAAAAAATTGTGAAGAAAGTATCTGATGGGGTAAAATAGGAGGACAAAATCTTAGTACAAGACTTGTCCAAAATATGTGTGGATAATGTTCTTGGTATTCTCTTTCTTCTTAACCAGAACGGGATTTTGTTAATTTCGAGACGCTAGGAAATCGCGTTGATTTTAGTGACAATTCGGTACTTTTATATGGAAGAAAACGCCTAGCAGCGTCAGCATAAAATATTATTAAAAATCGACGCCATTATCTGTCGTCTGGAAATTTGCCCGAAAATTTACTGGGCTAGAGACTATAGCTAATGTTTTTCTAAAAATTATGCATAAAAGGTTTAAATTTTTGGGTGTAATGGTTAAATTTTGTTAAATTTTTATAATTTTTTTACGAAGTTGAAATGAGATTTATGTGGCGCTGGTTATGTATTGTGCTGACTTTTATAAAAAAAATTATAAACATTAAACAAACAAAAGAAAAATACCAAAAGTGGTCAAAATGTCACTTAGCTTAATCAGCTGACCAAGGGTGTATCTCCTTATTAGGCGAGTGGAAAATTGTATGTTAAAAACTCAAATATTCTTTCTTTGTGACTCAAAGGCAAGCATTTCAATAAAAACAAGCTTTCAGATTTTCTAAGACAGTAAATGTTATAATGTTATATTGAAGCATATCTGTAACTAGCAGGTTTCAGGAAAATTGTGTAGCCAAAATATTGATAAATTTCTTAAATTAAATCCCCAAAGTAAAATAAAATCAACATAAAATTACAAGAAATTTTTAATATACTGAAAATTAGAAAAACCCTCCTTTCATTACCTTTTGCAAGAGCGTGATGCCCATTCAAGCAAAATAAAATTGCGATATTAAAAAAAAATCCTTTTGTGGGAAATTTTATTTTTGATTGTAAACGATTTTAAGAAAAGCTTTTATCATTTCTTGAACTTCTAAACAGTTTGCAGCTATTTCAAAAAAAATAAAACTTTGTAATTTGGTTGTCTTAATTGCAATTCATAAGTTAATCAAATATTATTTTAAACCTGCAAGTAAATTTAAGATTAAACATCAAATAAAATCAACTCAGTAAACAGTTAAAGTACATAGATAACCACATTCCGCCTTAATCGCGTACAATGATCAAAGAATCTTCAGAAAGCAAATATTCTTTCAACCCCCCCCGTCTCACAAGTTTGCGCGCATGATTTTTCCAGTTTTATGCGACAACAATCAATACGAACTTGTTATTATGTCTACCGGAAAGCTAAATGCCAATTCAACTATGCGGCGGCTGTCGGTGACAAATTTCGTACAAAAGAAACTCCGATAAGAGGGGCTGTACAAAGCCGCATGGAACACACACATCCTGTGGCATGTCATACCTTACTCTCTATTGATTTTCAATAAGTCGAGACGTTATTAGGTACATACATACATATTTTTGTTTTTTCTTTTCGCTTTGTTTATGTACTTTTATTTGGCGCGTCAAGACGTCTGTCAATTATTTGAATTCGCTTCGTATTTCGAGCAGCGAGATTTATTGTTGTAGTGCCACGAGCATTTTTTTGTTTATTTTTGTTTGCCAGCAAGCAGAATTTGTCAGTTTAGTTTCCCAAAAAAAAATAAAGTTTGTGACTTTGCTGCAAGTACGCTTCGACTGTTGATTTTTTGGAGTGGGCGGTTGGTATATAAAATATTTCCTACTTACATTTTGGGTTTCTTCCATGCGACAGCCAGCGAGTTGTTATTGTTTCATGCAAGTAGCCGAGTCCGAGCAATTTAGTTAGCTATGCTTGCAGGAGTTTGAGGGTGTGCTGATTTTGGGGCGCGTATTTTTTGCCCCCCCCTCCTCGTGTTTGTTTGCAAGTCAGTATTGCATGACTTTTGTACACAATGACATTCCTCTACAATAAAGCCACTATATAGTACTATGCATTTTCATATTTCTTCATCATTTTGCTACAATATTTTCAGCTTCGTTTCGTCGTCATGTTTACTTTTCGTGAATGCAGGGGTTGTGGGCTCGTTATTATTATGCCTTGACATGTAAAAGTATGCAACGTAGTTATTTACATTACTTTTTGTTATTATTTTCTCTTTCCAAAAATATTCCTCCTTCCCTTTTTCTATGGTAAGCTTGCTTTGTTAGGAATATTTTCGCAAATGTCAAGTTACCTACATTTGTCTGCAAACTATACCTTTTAATGTGATAAGCTCTCACTACAGCTTTGATTGCCTTTCAACACTGTTCCTACTGTTCTGATACAACAATCATTTGTGCAGCCTTAACTGATATGCAATACATATCACACATATACATACAATACTGTTATGCTCGTAGTATATGGCGCTAGAGTACAAGTACGAACTTGAATTGTCGCTTAAAAGTAAAAGGTTTAAATGTCGTGACGCATTCGTTTAGTTACAGCCGTTCTTGCCTCCTCTTGCGCGTGTGTGTGTGTGTGTGTGTGTAATTTACCACCCCAGCTTGACTTCCAAAATAAAAACTTCATTTATTGTCGTTTGACAGTTTGTTACTGACTTTGTTTGCTCCAGTTGTTTTGCGCTGGTGGAGAGGGGGCCGTGCAGGGAGAAAAGCAAATTATTTTTAGCTCAAATATGTACTCTACAGCACTTTGCCTTCGCTCCTCGCTTGTTCTGTGTACTTTTCGTTTATTTGTTTTTGTTTTGAATTTTACGATGCGTCTAATGAGCAGGCAAGCAACGATGCGTAACACAGGTGTGCTAAGTGATTGCAGAGCGCCGGGTAGGGAGGAGCGGGGTTGCAAGTGGCAGTGGCATTTCTTACCATAATATTTAACATGTGCTGGAATTTATGAATTCATTGAAAGTCATTGCCGCAAGCGGGTGGGGTGGGTGTGCGTTGTATTTAATGTGGAATATTTTTGAACTCCTTTCATTTTACATACAATAAAGTAAATAAAAAAAAAAACGAGTTTCCATGGTGAAATCACTTCGAGGTCAACGAATTTTTATGCAAGAAGGGAAGTACTAGGTAGTAGAAAAATAAAGCCGTCCTACATAGTTTTACAAGCGACAGTTTCGACAAAATGCTTAAAAAGCTAAAGGAAATGAAATGTATTAGAATTGGCAAAATTGTTTAATGATGTTGCGTATACGCAGCGGCGCACACTAGCAGGAGCACAAATGTTTGATTTTTAATTTCGTCTATTTTTTTTTTAGAAATAGTTAAATTTATAAACGTAAGTTTTTAAAAGAAATAATTTTCCAAAAAGCATTGAAAAATATGCTTTACAATGAAGCCTTCACTACCGAAAGTTTACAACCACCAGCTGAGGTGTAAATAGAACTAATTAAGGCATTAAACTGAATCAGTTTAGAGTGCAACTATTGAAAATGTATGTTCGTATTTACAAATATCTGCTTTTATATTTCCAGGTTATGAATGGATTGGCTGGCGTAATGATACACCCGATTTGAGTGGCAAACCGGTTGAAATTATTTTCGAATTCGATACAGTGAGAAATTTTAGTGCAATTATTTTGCACACGAATAATATGTTCACCAAAGATGTGCAGGTGAGTCGTGTGCCTTTATATGTTTTAAAAAGCAAAAAAATAAAAAAATATATAAGTTCGAGAAGTATTTGCGAAAACACTTGAACTCCTCAAGCCAACACACTTCTCTGATTGGCAAAAAAGTTAATTCTATCCTTCTTATGTTTAAATTATGAAAAAGTACATACTTTTTATTAAATTTAATACCTTTTTTATTTTTCTTTTAATTTGAACAAAAAGGTATTCGTGCGCGCCAAAGTCTTCTTCAGTATTGGTGGACGACATTTCTCCGGTGAACCGGTGCAATTTTCATACATGCCAGACACCATAATGGATCACGCGCGAGATGTCACCATTAAATTGCATCATCGCGTTGGTAGATATTTGAAAATCAATTTATATTTTGCCGTGAAATGGATTATGCTGTCGGAGATTTCATTTGTATCGGGTAAGTGAATGAAGAAATGTTTATTTATTTAAATGAAATTAATAAAATAGAATTATTTTGTAATAAATGACATAGAATAAAATAAAGTAAAATAAAATAAAATACAATAAAAAATAAGTAAATTAAATTTAACTCAAATAAAACAAAATCAAATTTAACTGAATTAAGTTAAACGAAAATAAAATTTAAAAATTAAATAATTGAATAAAGGAATAAATAAAAATTAATTAAAAAGAATAAATTGAACTTAATTAAATATAAAAATTAAAAAAATAAATAAATAAAATATAAAAAATTAAATCAAAATGAAATAAATTGTTATAAAATATGTAATATAAAAATTTAATCCAATAAAATAAATTAAAATAAAATATAAAATTAACAATAAAAAGTAAATAGAATAAAAATAAAATTTAAATATAACAAAAAAGAAATAAAACCTTATAGAGAAATCAAAATACAGTCAAATAAGATAAATAAAGACTAAAGTCAATAAAATAAAGTAAGGTAACGAAATAAAATTAAAATAAAAAAAGTCATAAAAAAGTCCCTCTTCATAGTAAACCGGAATTAGAAATTTTTAACATATTTTGGTATAGCGTACCATGTCGTCGTCTACATATTTGACCGGACAATTGTGAAAAAAATTATTTTCTGGGAAACTATTGTTTCGAATCCGTTTCATTCTTTGCGATATACCAATTTTACATACAATTGATTTTTATCTTCTCAGAAACTGGATCGCGTCTTCAACCTCTCAGTATCGCAATCATATGGAGACTTGAAAGATTTTCAATTGACCATGCGAAAACCGAAAATGATTTTGTAGTCCGCCTTTGACAGAGCCTAAAGAAAATGATCTAAAATGGCTTCTGATTTTGCAGCTTCTTTCTCTATATACGGGGAAATCTAACTCCCTAATATTTTTATTACATTTTAGTGCAAAGTGTGGAAAAAGTCGCTATTTTGAGGAAAATCTATTCTCCTGTTCCAGTAATTAAATTTTACATAGTAAAAACTAGTTGAAAACAATTTTAGGGTTCGCCCTAAACAAAAAAAGTCACAAGAAATATTTTAAATGTTATAAAAAAAAATTCGCCAAAATTTAAATATTTTTGTTTTGAGTTTTTAAAAAATTTCTAATATGCGATTTTGTAGATCCGAAAAAAATCAAATGTTTAAGAAAAAGTGGCACCAAAATTATTTTTTTTAAGTTTTTAGAAAAAGTATAGGTATGACTGTTTTATAGACATGAAATTTTAGTATAATAAATTGCAAGTAGCAAGGAGCTCGCGGTGATTGTTTATATATTTTTCTCTAATTTTTCGAGCACATCTGCATGTTGTGTAGTTTATGTTCTCAGTACCAGGTTGACCGAGCTTTGCCCGGAGTGCATATACTTTTTAAAGTTTTCAAGATTTGGATAGCTTTAAAAAAATATTTTGGAAGAAAAATGGGTTTCGATACCTATTAAGTAAATTTCTTACTCCAAAATTTAGGTGGTAACCCTATTCCGAAATACGCTAAAATGAGTGGTACATATCTTGAGCGTATATGTACTGTGTATACATAAAAAAATGCTGATTGAAATTAACAAAATAAAATTTTTTATTACATAGAAGCATGGCAACCCCGATGGAAAATATTTTTTTACAAAAGTTCTCAACAACACCTTTCATTTGATATCCATATTGCGAATTTTTAGATAAATTGCGTAGAATCGAAAATAAGTGGCAACCTTACACTATTATAATAAGGGATACAATTTTGCATATAGGGAAAGCATTGTTTAAGAACCTCCTCTTGGTACCCATGAATAGTAATATTTACCTTTTTTCAAAAATAAACAAAATTAAATAAATATGCTATTCAAAATAGGTGGCAACCCTATTAAAAAATTTTTGAATTAGGTATTTTTAAAATACCTTCCATTTGATGCCCATATTATAATGTTTTAATTAATTCGTAACTTATTTCGGATAGGTGGCAACCTTATACGAGTCTTCTCGGAGATAATGCCTATTCACGTAATCTTAAAATCTAAAACATTATCCGTGTACTAATTTTCATCAAAATCGTTAGAGCCGTTTCCGAGAACCCTATGGATATGTATATATATACTAGAGTGGCCGCAATATACTAGAAAATTTTTAAAGATGGTAGCATCGATGAGCGTCGGGCTGAAAAAGTTTCTATTTTACGTAAACAAAGTACTTGAAAAATTTGAAATATCTCCGGGAATAATTGATGGACCCAAAAGTTGGTTAAAGTTGATCGAAGCAAATCGTACTGAAGTTGATTTTGTTTTATTTCTATATAGAAAATATTCAGAAATAATTTACACTTATGATACATGACAACACCGCACGACACATGTCACTCTGCATAAAAATCAAAAATCCGCAGTGTACATATTTATGTAAATAGCTAATAAGTCCCCGTAACATTTCGAACGCTTACTGCTTTCTGCAGATAATCTGGTCCGGAATCGTACCACTCTACAACAGTTGCGTTAAAACAATCGACACTCTCAATTCAATGAAACAAAACCTGAGTTCATGTTACAAAAATGGCTAGGCTAATATATATATATGTACATATACAAGAATTACTCGTTTAATGTAATAAGATTATATCTATATATTTAGAAAAAAAAAAAAACGAACGAAAGCGAAATTTCAAAATTTCATGATCTAAATGTAAAACTGCATACTCCAAACTTTTTCTAAGGAATAAAAAAAAAGCTAATTTTCATGAAAATTTTTTTTAAACCTTTCCAATTTTTTTTTTGGATTTTTTTTTCTCCTTTTGGAGGAACCCAACAAATGTTTCCAACTTGTTTTTATTATGTAACATTTATTAGTAGGAACGGGAGAATCCATTTTTTCAAAATTGCTACTTTTTTTTGCACTTTTCACAAAAAATTTAATACACAAAAAAAAATTTAAAAAATCAAAAAATAATGAAATTGAGTGAAAAATTAAGGCTCCAGTGATTTGTTAACACAAAATGCCACTTTTGAACCACTATGGGATGGTGGCTTGCATACCGACATATATGTACCTATGTACGTATGTAGTATATGTATGGTTTACTAATACCTTTCGCGATTGCAAAGAATATGAAGCTTTTCTCAGAATCCATGACGCTATTAGAACTCCCTAAGAGAAAATTTGATAATTTCATAATTTAAGGCCCATCACTACGGATACTCAGGGTTATTGATCGAAATATTTTAAGCGGACTTCAAAAAATTACCAGAATAAAATTTGTCTTATTTTTTTATGAAAAAATGTTAAGCTCGAAATATGTTACAGTTGCACGTTTTCCAAAGTAAAAAAAAAACACAAACATCGAAGAAGTAACTTAAAACTCTTAAAAGCTTTTGAGAATCGAAATACAAATTTCGCTGCAGCTTGTTGCATCAACACAGCCAAAAGTCACTGACAAATTTTTCCAATCACCTTACAATATTTCCCACAATTTCCCGTAAGCGGCATGCATGCAAATAACGAATGCTGCTTTCCAGAAAAAGAAAAACATGCATAAATGCATACATGCGTACATACATACATATATCGAGTTATATGTATATGTACATGCATATATATTGACTACCAAAATACTCCAGTGTAAGCGCCTTTTATATTTCTGCAATTGAAATCTGCTTTGCACAAAATTTGGCATGCATGCAACATACGATTTTTGCCGCTTGCTACATGCAACTTATGCACCAACAGAGTAAAACTCAATAAGTCGACGCCTGATGGAGGCTACAAAAGCCAAATGGTGCACGCATGCAGCGAATGAATGTATATACATATATACATACATACATACGTACATATATGCCTGTTGGCAGGAATACTCGTAAAAGCAGATGAAGTGGGTATTTGTGACTGAAACATTTTTCATGAGAAATTTCCGCCCACCCAAAGATTAAAGCACAAACAAAAGCAAAACAAATATCGAAGTGGGCCAGCACGTATTTGGATTTTTGGTAGTACATACATACCTACATGGCTGCTCATTGGAGTGCATGTATGTATGTATGTTTTATAAGTACGATTGCCAGAGCATATGCGAGTGCTTGTGCGGTTGAGTGCACTGTGCGACTAGAGTGCGCTTTCAAATGCATTTCGAATGGAAAATCATTTTCAGCTTCATTTCACTTTCAAGTACGAATACGTTTACAAATCACAATTCGCACACATAAATACATATGTATGTATGTATGTATGTATGTACTTATGTACATGCAAACAAGTATATTTGCTTAAGCCGCCTTTTTGTATGTATGTTTGTGTTCGTAAGCGCTGCATTTGCATGTCCATGAAACTTTTTCTAGTGTAAATGCACTCATACTTGTATGCAAATGTATGTACCTTTGTGTGTAGTAGTTGACCATTGTCGGCTTGCAATCACAATCGCAATCACAATCACAATCAAATTCATATTCATTTGTCGTTGAAATAAAATTGCGCATATATTTTTCCAACATTTTGCTCGACAACAATGAATGATGGATTCGTGTAAGTAAGTGTGACTAGGTGCAGCCATACCATAACGACTTACTTACTTACTTACCTACCTATGTACATATGTACATATGTACCTACCATAGCTACAAGCTTATTCGTGCGAAAACATTTCAGGATATTGCTGCATGTCCGGTTGTAATGCGGAAATGCAGGAAAGTCAGTTAGTAGAAAGTTATGTTGAGTAAATATGTAAGTAGAAAGTGTACTTAACTTGGACAATAATGCCAAGGCAGCCGAAGGCTGTAGCACGTAGTAGTACATAAGAGAAAGTCAATAATAAATTGCAAGGAGAGTAAATATGTACGTGGAAGCACTGCTTATTACTTATTTGAATGGCTTGTTGGTTACTTAAACAGAAGCGAATATCAAAGTGTGTGCTTAGCCATTCTACTTTTTGGGGTAAGCACAGCTGTGGCAGAGTAAAAAATAGGAAGCAAAATCTTATTCAAAGTTAGCGCA